AAAAAAAAAAAAATTACTTTATGAAGAAAAATAAATAATTTCCCATTAAATAAAGGGATTTTTGTTTTATTTCAGTAATCAATATTTATATATTTTAATAAATAAAAACAATAAATATTTTCAAGAAGAATTATTCTTATTTAGAATAAAAAGGTTGTGTTTGAAGTTAGATTATATAATTTAAATTTCCTCCACCGCCAGTTACCTAAAAAAATTTACCTTACCGACAACTAATTTCTTACTTATGATGACTTAGAAGACTTAGAAGACAGTAGATCAATTGTCGTTCTTTTGTAATATATATTTCATGGGTTACAGTTTAATTTTTTTTCATAAATATGATATCTAAATGTTTTAATGTGTGTATTTTATTTTAATGTGACATACATTAAGTGTTATGTATGAAATATTAAATGTATATAACTTGTTAGAGAGCAAGTTACTTTTTGAATTTCTTTACAATTATTACATTGGCTACATTTCCGTTCGGATCACTCAGATGACCCCTCAAATTTTTACTGAGTTGCAGGCAGCGCAACCTGTTGCTAAAAATACGAAGCTTGATTAACTATCGGTAATTTGTTTTTTTTTCTATTTTATCGACCATCGATAAAATTTATTTTTTTGGTTACAATTCACTTAAAATCATCGAGAGTATATGTTTACTTGTGTAAAAAAAAATTAATTACAATGTAATTTATAATTAGTAATTTAATTTTATTATGTAAAAATGTTTGTAAGGTATTAATAAGTAATAATAATAATAATGAGTGTAAATAATTCTTTATCAAACCCTTTTGTTATAAAAATCGGAAAAAGGGAACCTGAGGTAGGTTATGTTTACATTATATCAACAAACGTTGAATTTTTTCGTTAATTTTTTCTTATTTTTCTTATTTTTTTCCAGGAAAATGGGGAAAATCGGCCTAAGGAACTCCGTGAAGAGTACCCTATTGATCTTGAAGAGATAAAAGTCGAAGGAGATCTAAATACGACGACTTTTGATGACATAAATCATGGTAATCGTAAAAACACTATTATTACAAAATTTACAGATGTTTCTCCTGAAGAAGAAAATTCCGAGAAAATTTTCGTCGTCGACGGAATAATCCGCGAAGAAAAGCCAGAAGATGATTTAACCACTAAAAAAAGTGTCGAAATGTACAAATGTAAGTTCTGCAACAAAGAATATTCAAAGTACTACATAAATGAGCACCACATGACTCACACGGGAGAAAAGCGGTACAAATGTGATCAGTGTCCGATGAAATTCCTCCGGAAAAGCAACCTCAACAAGCACTTGATCATTCACACGGGGATTAAGCCTGTCCAGTGTGACGTCTGTTTGACGAAACTCTGCGGAAAAGCCAGCTTGAACAGACACATGATGATCCACACCGGGGAAAAACCTTGGCAGTGTTGGATTTGTTTGGGGAAATTCCGCGACAAGGGCAGCATGCTTAGCCACGTGGTGCTGCATGACGCCGATTGCATTGTCAAGCCTTTTCAGTGCGAATTTTGCTCCCTTAAATTCAGGCGTAGGAGCACACTTAAAAACCACAAATTACTCCACGCCTCAGAAAAACCATTTCAATGCCATGATTGTGGAATAAAGTATTATACGAAGGTGAGTTTGAAAGCTCATTTCCGTAGAAATCATCAAAAAAAAGAAAGTTGAGGTTTTTACTACCTAGCTGGTTAATTATTATTTATTAATTTATATTATCTTAATTTTTGAATTAAAAGTTGTTGTAAATAAAAAATTCAAACAATTTTTTTATTATTAAAAATTATCCTGTGGCGCCATCTGTGAGAAAAAATAAATAAATAAATACTATTATCTTTGGTTGATAAAATAAATATTCTTCTTACCGACATTTACCAATAAAAATTTCTGTTAACCTGATCTTGCCAGCTGATAAATTAGATAAATTCTTTTTTATTACTTACCTAATAAAGCAACAAAACAAAAGGTAATCAACATGCTGCTGAACCATGACTGCGAATTATCTCCATCAGTCCTCCCGCATCCTCACCGCAGCAGGTTAAAAAAATGGGTGTTTACCTTCCGGAAGATCCTGATGGCCTCAACGAAGAATCCGCGAGCGCACCGGTACTTGAGGAACCACAGCGCAATCCTGGCGGAAAAGCGCCAGCAAATAAGGAGCAACAACATGTGGATGATCCACCCGTTTAGTATTTTTCGGCAGTGGTGGGATTTTCTGATGATAATCCATCTGACAGCAAGCTTGCTGTTGGTTCCTTATAAAGTATTTGATATTCATCGCCTGGAACCAACTTGGCCATTTATTAAGAACTATTTACTGGGTGTTTGCTGCTTCGATGTTATTATTAACTTTTTTACTGGGTAAGTTTTTTATCCTAATCCTAAAATCCTGGTCCTAGTTATTAGACCTAATTCCTAATATTAGTTCCTAGTTCTAGTTTCTAGTCTTAGTTCTTTTTCCTAGTTTCTGGCCCTAGTTACTAGTTCTAGTTCCTGATCTTGACCCTAATTTCAGTCATTGGGCAGAGATCTTGGTCCTGATCCTAATTTATGGTTCTGGTCTTAGTTCTTGGTGCTAATATCAGTTCTAAGTTCCTAATCCAGTTCCTAATTCTAGTTTCTGGTACTAGTTCCTGATTATGACCTGAATTTTAGTCATTTGGCTCAGGTCTTCGTCCTAATCTTGGTTCTGGTTCCTAGTCCTGGATTCTGGACCTAGTTTCTGTCTAATTCCTGGTCCTAATCTTGGTTCTAGTTCCTAGTCCTAGTTTCTAGTCTAGTTTCTGATCTTGGTTCCAGATCTTGACCTGAATTTCAGTCATTGGGCTTAGGTCCTGGTCCTAATCATGGTCTTAGTTTTTATTTCTAGTTTCTAGTCTAGTTCTAGTTCCTAATCTTAGTTTCTAGTCTAGTTCCTGGCCCTAGTTCCTAATCTTGACCTGAATTTCACTAATTGGACTTAAATCCTGGTTCTAAGCCTAATTAATGATCCTGGTCATAGTTTCTGGTCCTAATCTTGGTTCTAGTTTCTAGTCCAGTTCCTAGTATTAGTTTCTAGTCTAGTTCCTGATTCTGACCTGAATTTCAGTCATTTAACTTACATCTTGGTCCTAGTTCCCTAATCTTGGTCATAATTAATGGTTCTGACCATAATCCTACTCCTAATCCAATCTCCAACTCATCCTAACTAACCATCCCTCTTTTCCAGATTCTACTCCTCCGGCCAAGTGGAGCTAAACCTCCAAAAAATCGCCTCGAACTACCTCCTCTTCAGCATCTTCGACATCCTGGGCTCCTTTCCAACGGACCTATTCTTTCTAACCCGCACCTCGCCATCAGTCTCAAAAGAACTAGCTAGCTGGCTGCACATCTTCCGAATAATCTCCGCCCGTCGCTACCTAATAAAAGTAGCCGAAGCTTACGACATCTCAGCCATCTACTTCGGACTCTTCAGCTTCGTCCCCTTACTAATTATAACTCTCCACTGGTTAGCCTGCAGCACCTGGCTAATTCCAGTCGCCGTGACATCACTATCCTCAATCCGTCAACCAGTTCCACAATCCTGGATCAACCAGAACTTCCTCTGGGAGAAAACCGGAAACGAAGCTTACTGGGCTACTTTAATCCGAACTGTGACCATTCTAACAAGATCCGGAGTCCTGACCAACGAAATGCAAACCCCGGAGGATCAATACGTAGTCGCAGTTCTCCAAAGCATCAGCATGCTCGTCCTCTGCTGGATAGTCTGCCACGGGATGCGATTATACAAATCACGAAACTGCTCACAGCTAAAGTACGCAGCAGCTGTTGCTCAATTAAAAAAGTACATGAGCTACAAGCACCTGCCAGAGCTAGCTCAGAGAAGATTCTTGATCTACTACGAATTCAGATTCCAGAGGAAGTTCTTCCGAGAGCAGGAGATCCTCAGGACACTGTCCACCCAGATGAGACAGGAAATCCGGATGCACGCCTGCAGAAAGCTAGTAGAGAACGTCGCGTTCTTCAATAACTTACCAGTGGGTCTGCTAGCCAGAATCGTTAGTCACCTGGTTCCTGAAGTATTTCTCACCAATGATGTTATTGTCAGGGCTAATATGCCTGGTGACTGCATGTACTTCATTGCAACAGGCACTGTTGCCATCTACGGAATATCAGGGACTGAAATCTGCCACCTGGAAGACGGAGCTCACTTTGGAGAAATTGCCATGGTGATGCCCAATGAAAGACGAGTTGCTACAGTGGTTGCTGTAGAAGTTTGTGAGCTTTATAAGCTAGAGCGCAGTGATTTCATGAGGACTATCTATCCTTATCCGGTTCTTTGGGAGAGGATCAAGAAGATTGCCGTGGAACGGCATGAGAAGACGCAGACTATTGATGGGAGGTGATGATGATGGTGATGGTGATGATGATGATGATGATGGTGATAACGTTCCAAGGATCTAGGGTGAGTAGAATTAAATTAGTAAGCGCCAGATTTGGTTAGTTTGAATCCTGAAGGTTCTAACTTGGATTTCCAGCAGATCTGGCAGCATTTGGATGTGTTTTTTAGCATCCAAGAGCCAAAAAGCTGCTAAAAGAATCTTAGTAACCTCAATTGTCCAGTTTTTGGTCTTCAAGGCTGAAAATACGGATGTTGGATGGTCTGATGCTACTGGAAGATCATCAGAATGATGATGATGACGTTTTTGGGATTCAGGATAATTGGAAGTAAATTAGCAGGCACCAGATCTGGTAAGTTTGGATTTCTAAGGTTCTATCTTGGATTTCTGGTAAGTCTGGTTCTTGGAAATTGCAGAAGTTGGTGAATAATAGGGTTTGGCGTCGAAGCTTGAAACAATGCGCAGTAATCGTCGGGGTGTGGCCAGTGTAATGTATTGCTGATTTGCGGAGAAGACCCAGATACAACAGAGAGTCATAACAATAGGTAGTGTAGGCAGGCAGGTAGACGCTAAGAGGGAGTAGAATATCATTTTGTGAAAGCTGAGAGCTACCAACTACCAAGCACGCGCATATACCGCCGCTACAATGTCCAGCCCTCTTATTGTCATATGCGCGAGCATTGTCATCCTCTGCGCAGCTATTGTCACCAGGTACGCTCCATTTTAAATTCCAGTCGCCCAATCCGCTCCATATTTTCACACTGATACCTCTAAAGGGTCACAGTAGTAGGAGCACCTTGATATTTTGACTTAGAATCATCCTAAGGATGTCAGCGAAGGGTCATTTTACTTCTGATGATTTCTAGGATGTCTTCCAGTAGCATCAGACCAATTCAAATGGCTTTGAAGCCCAATTACTGGACAATTGAGGTTCTTTTAGGAGATTTCTGGATTCTGGGTGCTACAAGACGCATCCAGGTGCTGCCAAACCGGCTAGATATTCAAGCTAGGACCTTCAGGATCCAATTTTGCCTGGTAAATTAGTTCCAAGCTTCAGGAGCCGTCCTGATTTATCATTGGTGTCGATTATGGGCAGAATTATCAACGCAATTAACAATTCCAAGCCAGAAGTACAGAATCCGATTGGCTAATAGGTGGCGCAGGTGTTATTAATAACAACACTAGTTGATAGATACGTTTGTTACATAATAAAAAGTTATATTAACAAGACTGGAGCGGGTTTTGTGGATTTTATCGAGCCCAGAGCTGCTGCTTGTGTCTGTACGAGCTGGTGCTGGCTGCTGCACAAGAAACCGGTCGATACTCTGCGGGCTACCGGTTTGCTATCTCACTTGTGTGCCGCAACTCAGCTACTCTCTCTCGCGGTATTCTCCCGTACTTACCAGCTCGCCGGGGATACCACCCAATTTTGCTTAATGCCCTCCACTCACTCAGTCTATTAATTATTTATGAAGACTATTTGGAAAAACACATTAGTGACAGTGATAACAATGATGATAACTGTTTTGTAAAGCTGCTATATAGTGTAATCGATGATGAATAAATATGAATTTTTTTTTTTTAGCTGACTTGTTTATTGTGACACTAAAGATATTACGGTCTGTTGCGGGTATTGTTAGCACGACTATGATGGGGCCTTTTTATGCACCGCAGGGGGCCAATAGAGTGATGTCACGTCACGCATCATTTAACGATTGTTCTGTCACTGGTTGATTATTAAAGAGATGGGGTGGAATTTTTTTTTTTTCGGTATTTTCCATCGATTTTGCTAAAGAGTACGGGTATATTTATTGTTCCCAAGAACAAACTACGCTTCAGATCAACTTCAAATTTGGGATACATCCTCCTTAACACCCTTACTATCATCTTTTGAACGCATTTTGACCCACCATAATTTTTTTACACCCTCCCCCCACTCCAGAAAAATTAAAAAGCCTAAATCTTAAATATCCACCTTAAACTACTTACATTTTTGGTTCCCAAAATTAAACTAAGCTTCAGATTAACTTCAAATTTTGCATACACCTTCCTTAAGACACCTTACAACACCCTTTGACGGCATTTTGACCTACCATAATTTTTTTACACCCTCCCCCCTCTCCAAAACCACTAAAAATCTCAAATCTCAAATCTTAAATTTACGCCTTAAACTACTTACATTTTTAGTTACTGAAATTAAACTAAGCTTCAGATCAACTTCAAATTTTAAATACACCTTCCTTAAGACACCTTACAACACCCTTTGACGGCATTTTGACCTACCATAATTTTTTTACACCCTCCCCCAACCCCAGAACAATTAAAAAGCCCAAATCTTAAATTTGCATCTTATACCACTTACATTTTTGGTTCCCAAAATTAAACTAAGCTTCAGATCAACTTCAAATTTTACATACACCTTCCTGAAGACACCTTATAACACCCTTTGGCGGGATTTTGACCTACCATAATTTTTTTACACCCTCCCCCACCCCAGAGCAATAACGAGGCTCAAAATTCAAAATTTGCCTTCTAAGCCGCTAACTTCGCACTTATAGAGCTTTAGGACTATGTCCAAGCTTGACACAAAATCGGCGACCTTACATCGGTAACGTAGGTTTAAAAAATGTCAAACGTTGCGCCAAGTACTCAAAAACCTTTATTTTTTCAGAATTCTTTCCACACATTAGACAGGCGGTATAAATTTAACAGGATGATAGGATAAAAAAAAGATAACAGAAACTAACGAGCTCGTGACGTAGTGAGTTAAAAACCGTCAAAGGAGCAGCTCGGAGTTTCTGCAATTCATCTTTAAAACGTTATAACTCACCCTGATAGACACGGCATATACGCGATTATCTCGACACCGTTAAAGCCAGACATTCATCGCTACTGATGCATAGTCGAAATCTACACGATGCGCATCCTGACGCGTCATTTGCCGACTCATCCGCAGTTTTAATTAATACACACCCCTAAGCACACTGCAACCCTTTCTACGCTTTTTAACCCATCCAACCCCCCTCTTCACCCTCTTCACCCGCTCTCTTTCTCTCTTTGAGCGTTTGCCCACTCTTTTTTTTTGTTGTTTGCTCAGGAACGGTGAATTTATCATTGTAAATTGTTAATGAGTTTGAGACTTTCTCTTTGTTATTACGTTATATATATATATATATATATATATATATATATATATA